CGGCATGCGCCGCAAACTGCGCGCCGGCGGGCCGGCCGCTGCGCGCGAGCGCCTCGATGCTGCCGCTGACGCGGCCGAGGTGCTGCTTGATCAGGCCCGAGATCTCGGCGATTTCAAGCGCCGGGTCGTCGAAGAGGCTCGTCTTGCTCGCCTGCGCCGCGGCGGGAGGAGCGATCCGCTGAGCGGTGGCGGTGACGAGCTTTGTGCAGCGAGCGCGCCAGCTTGCTGAGGCGCACGACGCGGCCATCGAGCTCGTGAAGCGCCTAGTGTAAACGAGCTCGGTGGTGTTGGGAGGGCGACTCGGCGGTGCTGCAGAGTCGGCGCGGCTCCTGCCCGACGCGTGAGCTCGAGGCGCCAAAGGCGGTGCGCTGCGGACGAGGCCTGGACGAGGGTGGGCGGCCGCGCTGCTGGCAACGAACGTCGGCGATGCCAAAAAACTCGGCGGTGCGGTCCGTTCGAGCGGGGCTGCTGCTGCCTTGCATTGCGACGATCTCGCGTGCCACCACCACCCAAGCGGGATCTGAGAGTCTGCGGCTTGCGTACGGCAGTGCAGAAGAATTTGGTCTGTCGACTCGCACGCATTCTCGAGGCCGCTCCAAAATCCTGCTCGTGCAGGTGGGGACCCTGTCCTCGTCCCATCCCTCGTTTGGCGTGTCTGTTTTCTTTCTTTCTCGAGGCGACGGCTAGCGTATCACACTCCTCTCCTTAAAATCCCTGCCTGTGTGGTGGCGGCGTGCCGTTCTCCCATCCCTCCCTTGGGTTGTCTGCTTTCTTTCTTTCTTTTTCTCGAGGTCTCTTGGAGCTCCGTAAAACCGCGTGCCCTGGGACCCAGCGCTGACTTCTGACTGTCGTTGCGGTCTATCCCTTTCTCGACTGTCTGAGCTTGTGCGTCTTGGGTCCGTGGTTGTGTTTTTGTGTGAACTTGTAATCGATGGCACGCTCGCCGGCGCCGCGGCGCGCCGACGCACATGAGGTGCGCCCTCTGCCCAACCCTCGTCCAGGCCTCGTCCCAAAGTCTGAGCAACCCTCGAGCTGGGTGACTCTCGTAACAGTTGTTCCCAAAATACGCCCGAGAGAGAGACTGCGAAGAGAGGTATAGGAAGAGGCGGACGCCCAAGGAGCCCGTGGGCGACGGCTAGCACCACACTCCTCTCCACAGGCCCTTTTCTTCTTTCTTTCGGTGTGCCTTATGTTAGTGCGTGGAGCACGCGCCACACAGTCCCCCTGTGTCGCGAGCGCCTGTCTCTGGGGCTGCTGTGAGATAGTTGGTCTTGTTAAATTCTTTCTTTCGCTATTCCTTCAGCGGCCTTTCTCTTTTGCCTGTGTTAGTGCACACTAACAGTGCGTGCCCCGAAAGAAAAGAAAGAAAGAAAACAGACAACCCAAGGGAGGGATGGGAGGACGGCGCGCCGCCACCAGACAGGGATTTTAAGGAGAGGAGTGTGGTGCTAGCCGTCGCCCACCCTAACCCTTGGGCGTCTGCCTCTTTCTAAATAAATAAATAGAGCAGACAACCCCTGGTGGGATTAGGGCAGCAACCCGACGGGCAGACCCCGCCCCGCTCGGAAGGCGTCCGCCACTTCGGCCAGAGACTTATCAAGGCACTGCACGGCTTCTCCCTAGTCTTAAAGGGGCGCGTCCTTGGGCATAGGCTCGAATCCGCACCCCTCGCGAGTCCATTTTTGGTGTCATGTTTG